TCGAAACTTTATCTCTCGTTACGGATATGAAAATATTGAAAATGTAAACGTACATACATATTTTCAACGACCCCTTACGTATCCATTCCAGTTTCCTTATGCACCTTCAAATAAAATACTGGGAAATCCCAAAATAACCCTTTATTCCCTATTATGGATCCCAATATAAAAAAGTTGGAAAATTATTTACTTATTTTCAACGATGTCTTACGTGCCTGTCCCAGTTTCCTTACGAATTTGTACCTCAAATCCTGGGAGATCCAAAATCCCTTTATTCCGAATTACGAATCCCCAGTATAAAAATTTTGAGAGCTTCAACATAGCTACTTATTTTCAACGATCTCTCGTAGGTTACTCCTAGTTCTGGTCAAAGAAAGTCTATGTATCTCAAACGAACATCCAAGCCTAAATAATAACCTAAGTTTAGATCCCCTTGTTTCGATATATTCAATTTATTAAATTTTGTTTTTAAGCCTTTTAAAATTTACTCACTTCTTTTCCTCTGTGTAGTTAGAATGTCTTCTCTATATTAAAACTTGTACTGTTTATTGTTATATATGTGTGTGCGTGTGTTTGTACATTTTATATGTGTGTTCTAAGAAAACATTTTAAATCTCTGATGATGGAATGTGCAAATTCCGAAACGTCCGATAATCAAACAAGTTTTTGTTTCGTTTTTTTTTCTCCCGTGGTGATCCTGTCTTTAATTGCATTGGTTTACCTCTTTTTGAGACCCGTAATGACCTTTTGGAAACACGTTTTTTACTTTTTTTATACTCTGGTGATCAAGGACTTAGATAAAACATTTTAAGAATTTTTTTGCTACAAATTATGGTAGAACTTTAAAAAAAAGATACACTTTAAATATAGTAGAAGTTTATATTTATAAAAAATTAAAGGTTTAATATTAAACACAGGACCCCAAGGTCATTTTAAGAAGACATATATAAAATATTTTCAACCATAAATGAACCGAAAATTCATGTAAAATGGAGGAGGTCAAAACTTTGGAGCTGGTGATATGGGTTCGAACCTGTGTGATCCCACAAAATATTCTGTATGATGCAGATGCGTTATAAGAGTAACATTTAATCCATTAACGTTGATGGTTGGCAGTAGGGTAAACGAAATTACTCCCTAATGTAGATAGCTGAATAAAATATTTTTTAATTCAAATATTTAATTGAATGTTACCTTTAATTATTGCTTCATCTATAAATATATTTTTTAATATTTTGTTTGTTTGTGTGCCACCTTAGGGAACGAACTCCGAAATTTAACGTTATAAACCCTCGAGCATACTGCTGAACTTCCGTAGGACTGAGGGGGGGAGTGAATATTTTTAGAATAAAAGCGAAGATTAGTGATATAGACCATTCTGATGTAAGATTGACCCAAAATGTAGCGATTTACTATTGAAATGTACTAAATATCATCTCATGATTTACAATATAAGTATAGTTTTAGTTCATTGTAGTTTATAGTTCATTGACAGTTATTTTAGAAAAACATTTGTCTACATCTGGAACCTAAGTTTATATATCTTGAAATCGACTTCCAACTAAAATTCTACACGTATTTTATATTAATCTCAGGAATTATCCCTAGTCACCTGCTGCCCAAAGAATATAAAACACATCCAAAAGAGTGACCTGATCCCTAGTCACCTGCTGCCCAAAGGGTACAAAACACATCCAAAGCGTAGCCTGATCCCTAGTCACCTGCTGCCCAAAGAGTACAAAACACATCCAAAGAGTAGCCTGATCCCTAGTCACCTGCTGCCCAAAGGGTATAAAACACATCCAAAGATTGGCCCGTTAGACTGTGCTTTTTCTGATAAGGTGATTATGTTCTCATACTTCATCTTAATTTATGTTAAGCTGAATGAGAAGATAAAAGGTAAATTTCTGGTCATTACTACATATTTATTCTATTTCTACCGATTAATGATAACTAAACTGATTGCATTGCAAATAAAGAACCTTAAAAACCAGTACTAATCATTGTTTCAACTTTAGCACCCAAAAGTACTCTTTGCATGTTTAATACCAATAAGAAGATCTAAGTGGATGCAAGTTACTTATTCTAATCTTTTGTTCTAATTTCTCCCCCTCCCTCCCCCACAAAAATAGGGAAATAGAGATTCCAACAAATCCCCCTGAACTTCGTGTTTCTGTCAGACACAGGGTGGGCGTTAACTTAATAGGACGCGCCCACTCCAATGAGTGCTAACAAACTAATGCGGAGAAAAACGGTGTTTTCACTTCTTTAGGATAGCGTAGCAAGTGAAAGCTGCGGAGCTGGAAACGTTGGAAACGTTTTCTTACATTCACTTCTCGTTTAGTGTGAATTTCAAGTTGACCCAATCAAAATGCCGAGTTTGTTATCCTTCGAGCAGGTGATGTTGCCATTACTTACTGCCTTCTTTTTTCGAGCATGGGATAGGCAGTTTGAAATGAAGCAAAGAAGAATAGAATCTGAATACGACTATGTTATAGGTAAGGAGAAGTTTAATCGATTCACTTATTTTTTTGCCATTGAAACTAATTTTAAAGAAAAAAATAAAGAATTAATTACAGGTATTGATAATATGTCTCAATAGCAGCTGGTTTGTTTCCATGTGATTGATAACAAAGATGTATTTGTTTGTTTGTTTGTTTGCGCACAAAGCTACACAATGGGCTATCTGTGCTCTGCCTACCACGAGTATCGAAACCCGGATTCTAGCGTTGTAGCTCCGCAGACATACCGCTGTGCCACTGGTGGAGGGGGGCAACAAAGATGTAATCCTTAGAATAGAAAATATGTGGTGAATAACAATTATACAATTGGTTTTT